CTGTTGTTATTATGCTGTCTTTGTGCGCGCTATTTTACAAACGGGATTCCACGCAAGAAAGGGGAAAAAAGGGGGGGGGGGGACTATTTCCCCTGTGGGTTTCTGGGCCCTATCGTGGGGAAAAAAGAATAGACCCATTGCCTACCTAAACGCATGTCGTAAGAGTCGACTGATTGGGATTTTCCTTCATAGTCGGAGTAGATCTGTCTGAGGGGCAAGGAACTAACAGTCTGTATGCAAAGAGTCAGAAACGGATGTACAAGCAATACTCAGTTTCTGGAATAGGACTAAGTCCAGAAGTGTACGAACAGCCGGTGAACGCGAGGTAGAAGAAAAAAAAGTTGAAGAAGAAAAAGAAGAAGGAGGAGGAGGAAAAAATAAACTGATTTCATTTTTCTCCGCAGTCGTTTGGTTCGCCTGTGTAAAGTGACTTGACATACAGACACAGAGATGGATTGAAATTGCTCCAGACTCCTTCGATAGGTGACGAGAAGAAAATCTCAGACAAGACAGACGGATGGACGGACGGGCTGACGGATGAATGGATGAAAGGAAGGACGGCTGAATGGATGAAAGGAAGGACGGCTGGATGGATAAATGGATGGATGGATCGAACGAACGAACTTTAATTTCAAAGGGCTAAGAGGAGTAGCCCCGTCTCAGTTTTTGCATCTCTGGACCCACTTCTTACGAAAATTATTCCATTCATACACAGTTTTATAGGTAATAATAAACAAAATAAAAAACATCTCAATGATAATGAGAAACTTAGTAATGTAGTCTAATTATACCTACATTGTAAAACAAGTGTAATACTAAGTCTAGTAAGCTCACAAAATGTATAAAGGATCCTTTTACATGATTTCCAACGTGGTGGTCATATTTATATTTATATGATTTATATTTGTTTAGACTAGTCGGTACTCGGTGAGGGATGTGGTGAGCGTCGCGCCGGCCGCCTTTATTTCCGAGGACTTGATCTGGTACCCATGTAAGGCTAGGTCTAAAAATGAGCCAAGATCATTTGTGACAAAACTAAGTCCAGCTCCGTCACGACCCGAATCCACAACCATCCGATCAGCAGGCGAGGATCTAGCCACTGCACCCCGGCGAACCGGTGCATTGACAGGAAGAAGAAAAAACAACTACCTGGTGTTAAATATTTGGGTCGGGCTCTGAAATTCCTCATCAATAGACGTTTCAAAATACTTAAATAAACTGTAGATGTGACAGTCTGTTTCTCTGGAACAAATTCTTTGTGGATAACTCCTGTGCTGTCATAGAACACCAACATTGTCTTCACCTACGACTTTTAATGACAGCCCCCCCCCCCCCCCCTCCCCCTTTGATGATGATGATGACTTCCCCTGAGCACTTTGGCAATTAGTTGTGGGATCATATCGGAAAATCAAAGTTTCATCCTCTGCAACAATATAATTTAATAAAATCGTTTTTTTCTGTGACACGTTTTGATGATGTCTTTTGCCTACTCAACGCGCTGTTTTTGGTTATCAGACAAGGAATGTGATACTACAAATCGGCAAGCAACTTTTTTCTTGTCAAAATCTTCCAGTAAAATTTTACGAAAGGTCTCTCCATTTACATCAAATTCATCCGCCATCATCCTCACAGTCAAATAACAATCTTCTTGCATCCGTTCTCTGACTTTTGCAATGAGTTCCTCATAACAAACAGAAACTGGGCGTCCAGGTTTAGTTACATTAGTAATCATTTCTACACCACTTTTGAATCCTAAATACCACCTGAAAATAAGTGCACGAGATGAACAATTATCCCCATAAACTTTTTGCATCAATTCAGCTGTCTCAATTGCGCTTTTGCTGAGTTTTAAACAGAATTTAATGCTAGCTTTTTGTTCTATGCTGTTTTCGTAACAATGCACATCAAACTGGGTCAATAAAATCGAGCTTGTTTGTCGTCTGCTTATCAGGTGGCGATCATAAGTAAAGGTTGCCTCTTTGGATTCCATACTCTGTTTCATATATGACATTTTTGTCTTGGCCATGATAAAATCAGTCTCATTACTAGATTGTCGGACCTTGAAGATTGACTCCGGTCTCATACATATACGGTGAATGTCTACATCGATGTTCTTGCTGCTGGTGATATCCTGTTTTCACACAATCTGTCTGCGGCAATGCCCAGGAGGACATTCATGGCCTGGATCTGGTCAGCAGTTATTGTCTCTGAGGCGATCGGGAGTGACAAAGACCAGCATCATTATTCGTGCCAGGATATGCTGGTGTGATATGAGAAAGCTCATTAATTTGATCGGCTTGTTCTAATGTGAACGTTAAAGGTCAAAAATGAGAACAAGTCAATCATTTTAAATATTCATCATCAGGTGCCTTGCCGACTGGCGTGGGCGATCATGCCTCTCCTGCAGCATGTATCAGTTCGTGTGCCGACACACTTCCATTGCCGTGCAACAAGACTGTCAAGCATCTTCTCTCGTTGTCTTTCTTTATCCCTCCTTCCACAGATCTTTCCAGTGGTAACAACATGTTCTATTTTCATTCTTCTCATAACATGGCCGAAAAATGATGACTGTCTCCTTCTGATGTCTGTGATAAGTTGTCTTTCAAATATTAGGGGACCATTTTAAGTGACCAAGGATCTAGACCAGAAATCATGTCAGTCCTTGCCAGACAGCAAACATTACGGAGATCCAAAAACATTTCATGTTAAACCAAGCTATGACTGCTCACAGCACTAATTATTAGTACGTTTACACATGGCTGTGAAATGTGGAGCGTAACAGTTGAACTTGAAAGGAAGAAACAAGCATTGGAAATGCGAGCTTTCAGAAATATTCTTGGCAAATCATACAGATACCATATCACAAATGACGAGGTTTGCTGTTTAATTATCCAGCCTATTGCCAACTATGAATCTCTTTTAACTACATTTAAAAGACAGAAAAAGAAATGGTTCGGACATGTAAAAATAACTAACGGTCTCTCAAACATTATACTACAGGGCTCAGTAGAGGAGAAGAGGCAGACCATGAAAGACATTGATATAGAACCTGACTGACGGGATAAACCTTAGGTCTACAATCATGAAGTCCATTGTATCTGCCTGCCAAAGGTGGAGTGGGGCTGATCAGACAGGCTTTCCGGTGTGGCTTCCGGGGCCCCTTTATGGGGAAAATAAGAAGAGACCCACTGCCTCCCCAAAAGCATGTCGTAAGAGTCGACTCATTTGGGAGGTGTTTTTTTAAGTCGGAGTGCATCTGCCTGAGAGGCAAGGAACCAGCAGTCTACATACAAATGAGTCAGATCTGTCAAACGGGTGCACACGCAACACTCAGGTTCTGGGACAGGACTGCAGTCCAGAAGTGGATGAACAACCAGAACTTTCCGCCAGACTTTACAGCTGGCGAACGCGAAGAAGAGGGGAAAGAAGTCAAATAAAACTGGTGACCCTGTGACATGAAGTGTTAACGGGATGAGAATAATGGTTTGCTTACAGATAATGTTACTGTGAAGGGCGGACAAGCCATCGACCAAGTTGATGTACTGAATGCTCTTTGAGAAATAATACGTTTACGAGAACCCGGTGACTACTGGTGAATCTGCAACCGGATTTACCAGAGAGGGGATCCGGGCACTTATGGACTGAATGGTTCGATGTGAAATGAGGATTATTTGTCGACTAACTAACTACAAAACAGGAGACATTATTTCGGAGACCACGTGACAACCAAACACCAATAGAAACACAAATAAATGAAAACAGCACTTGATTTGTTAAATATGATGTCATACTTTATAATGCCACATCTATTGCTGATTAGAAGCTGCAGCGTTGTTTCTGATAAACAAAGCGCTGCAATAACAAATGGTTGATTTCTTTCTGTGTTTTTTATTATTTTTTTCTAAACTAATGTTAATAAGAAAATCCTTTTCACGCAAACTAAAAGTGGAAAACACATAACTATACATATATGTTTTGCGGACCACTTTTGCCCTCTGGCAAGGCAATTAATAATAAATGTGTTATTTCCCTCCCCCTCCCCTTTTTTTCTTGTGTACAGCTTGCGTGTACCCCTTTTAGGACGGTGTAGTACAGGCTTTAAAAAGGGGTGTGGAAGGGGTGGTATGAGCCTGAGTTTAAGTCTTGTGCAGTCGCCACGCAGCATGTATGTCAGGATTCTTTTTTCTGCCCCAGAAAATCAAAATTGTACAATCCCGACTTCTCATCGAGGATCGAACCCTAGTCTCCCGCGTGAAAGCTCAGTGCATTAAGCATACAGCCAGAATCCACGAACTTTGAAATCGAATCTCTGCTCTATTCAGACCTTGTATAGACACACCCATACCTTGCAGATCGGCGCTGATAAATATAGCTTATCACTGGTATAAAGCAAGTTGTGTGTAATCTTTTGAGATAACAGTTTATAAGTCTCTTATTACTGCAGCGTCAGGTAAAATCGATCCAACGGGACACAGTTTAGCATGGGATACACACATACACACAAGTGGGTGGGGGAAAAAAGGGGGAGGGGGTACCTTTCTGCCTAGTGCATTGTATCATGACAGCAATTTAACACAACTTATACGTAAATATGGTCCCTATTTGCTCAGCATAAATGCACCAATCTATACAGTGTAGTTCAAGTGACGACAGAAGACTGCAGGATAAGAAGTGCTTTTTAAAGTACATTATGTTATGAAGAGTGCTGTAAAAAGATATTTGTAAGGGGCGACCACCCTATTGAGGTTTCTTTGAATTCCGGTGTTCTTTTAGGCGGCCATGTTTGTTGTTTTAGACTTTTTAGTAGACCATGTAGAGAAAGTGTTTATTTCAAACTTTTTCTAAAATTTACTCTAGTGGAACATTCCAACATAAAAATTAAAAATTCAGTTGATGATAACTTTATAAAATTGATGTTTATATATGTGAAAAGAGCCAAACTTCTCAAATAAAGTGACAGAATACTGTTGCCTTGGTAACAGACGCCACGCTGTATCACCATGGCGACGGATACAGAAAGCATGCGTGAAAGTGTGACAAGACTGCACATGCGGGTGGTACAACAAGTAAGTGGAGATAACCGTCTTTCATGTCTTTGTTTGTTTGTCTGTGTGTTTCTTTCTTTCTTTTTTTTACATCGACTAAACAAAAATACAAATTAGTTAGACTTGTAATTACCAGTTGTGATGTTTTGAAAAGGATTGAATCTATTCAAAAATTATAGTTTGCGTATCTTTTAAAACAGCCTTGTCAATCTAAAGGTCCGCCGAGAACCATGTCGGCCATGTTTGTGTTGTCGTGAGGGTTACACTGAACTAGTTGAAGTTTTTTAAAGAAGTTATTGCAGAATATCTTTATCGCTGACCGCATGTTTGACATCCCTGCTTTACAGGCTGTTTCAGAGCTCACGCCAGCATTTTTTGGGCTCGTTGGTTTTACTGAATAATTCTACATTTAGTAGTTTGCCATTGCTAATGAACAGTCGGCTCTACTTTGTCAAAATCAAAGCAGCTGCAGCTGAGGTCAAACATGTGTCACGGAGTTACGAAGCTCCTCAGTAACACACAAGCCTATTGGTAAGACACAAGCCTATTGGTAAGACACAAGCCTATTGGTAACACACAAGCCTATTGGTAACACACAAGCCTATTGGTAAGACACAAGCCTATTGGTAACACAAGCCCGTTGGTGACACACAAGCCCATTGGTAACACACAAGCCTATTGGTAAGACACAAGCCCGTTGGTGACACACAAGCCCATTGGTAACACACAAGCCTATTGGTAAGACACAAGCCTGTTGGTAACACACAAGCTTATTGGTAGCCTATTGGTAAGACACAAGGCTATTGGTAAGACACAAGCCTATTGGTAAGACACAAGCCTATTTGTAAGACACAAGCCTGTTGGTAACACACAAGCCTATTGGTAAGACACAAGCCTATTGGTAAGACACAAGCCTATTAGTAAGACACAAACCTATCTGTAACACACAAGCCCATTGTTAACACACAAGCCTATTGGTAAGACACAAGCCTATTGGTAACACACAAGCCCGTTGGTGAAACACAAGCCCATTGGTAACACACAAGCCTATTGGTATGACACAAGCCTATTGGTAAGACGCAAGCCTATTGGTAAGACACAAGCCCGTTGGTGACACACAAGCCCATTGGTAACACACAAGCCTATTGGTAAGACACAAGCCTATTGGTAAGACACAAGCCTATTGGTAAGACACAAGCTTATTGGTAAGACACAAGCCCGTTGGTAACACACAAGCCTATTGGTAACACACAAGCCTGTTGGTGACACACAAGCCCATTGGTAACACACAAGCCTATTGGTAAGACACAAGCCTATTGGTAAGACACAAGCCCGTTGGTAACACACAAGCCCGTTGGTAACACACAAGCCTATTGGTAAGACACAAGCCTATTGGTAACACACAAGCCCGTTGGTGACACACAAGCCCATTGGTAACACACAAGCCTATTGGTAAGACACAAGCCTATTGGTAAGACGCAAGCCTATTGGTAAGACACAAGCCCGTTGGTGACACACAAGCCCATTGGTAACACACAAGCCTATTGGTAAGACACAAGCCTATTGGTAAGACACAAGCCTATTGGTAAGACACAAGCTTATCGGTAACACACAAGCCTATTGGTAACACACAAGCCTATTGGTAAGACACAAGCCTATTGGTAAGACACAAGCTTATTGGTAAGACACAAGCCCGTTGGTAACACACAAGCCTATTGGTAACACACAAGCCCGTTGGTGACACACAAGCCCATTGGTAATACACAAGCCTATTGGTAAGACACAAGCCTATTGGTAAGACACAAGCCCGTTGGTAACACACAAGCCCGTTGGTAACACACAAGCCCATTGGTAAGACACAAGCCTATTGGTAAGACACAAGCCTACTGGTAAGACACAAGCCTATTGGTAACACACAAGCCTATTGGTAAGACACTAGCCTATTGGTAAGACACAAGCCTATTGTTAACACACAAGCCTATTGGTAACAAACAAGCCCATTGGTAACACACAAGCCCACTGGTAAGACACAAGCCTATTGGTAACACACAAGCCCATTGGTAACACACAAGCCCATTGGTAACACACAAGCCTATTGGTAAGACACAAGCCTATTGGTAACACACAAGCCCGTTGGTAACACACAAGCCCATTGGTAACACACAAGCCACACCAGCCTATATTTCAATGATAGCTTCATTTATTGGGACATTCGGTCATTCTTCTTGTTCTGCTTCGCGTTTATCGGCTGTAAACGGAAAGTTATGGTTGTTCATCAACCTCTAGACTTTCGACCCCCCACCCCACCCCTCTCCCCCACCCCCTTCCCAAGAATGTATGTATTGCTTGTAAATCCTTTTTACAAATCTAGCTCATTTGTATGCAGAATGTTGGTTCCTTGCCTTTCAGGCAGATACACTCATGACTTCAGAGAAAGAATTTAGTGCTTGATTGA